GGCCAACCTTGGGAATTGTGTGCCAGCTCTCTTGCGGGGAATGATTTGTTGGGATGCCCCCGGGTATCCTCCGTTGCTGGAGTGCTGTGTGATGTGTGTGGAAAGTGAGTATGCCCCCGGGGTGACTCCCTGGCTGGAGTAGGCGTGAGTGCATGTGTGTGTGGGTAAGCTCTGTGACTTTCTTTCGGAGCAATTGCGGAACCTGGGATGGGCCGTTTGTGGCTCCCTCAGTGGAGATGGGCAGTAGCTCTTGCCCTTCCCTTTGCTCCAAAGGGTCCCCCTCCCCCCCTGGAAAAGACCCAGGAGTCTCATCAGAAAAGTCTCGCCTAGAGCGAAGTTGGTCGATGTGCCGACGCAGGACACGACCGTTGTCCAGGGCAACCTCGTAGGAGAGAGGACCTGTGATCCTGGACACAGAAGCGGGGACCCATGTATGACCAGGCCCGTAATTGCGAGCCCAAACCGGGGCACCCACAAGTAGTTGTCTAGGTGCCCTAGGATGTGAGGTAGATGAAGGCAGTCTGTCCGGATGCAACCGGTCAAGTCTAGTAGTAAGTTGGCGCCCCCAACGAAGTTCAGCTGGACTTCTCCCTGTAGAAGTGGACGGTGTGGTGGCGATAAGAAAGGAGAAAGTCAGCAGCCAACCTGTGATGCCAGTCCCCGTAGGTGAGTCTCTTCAAGGCGTCCTTTGCGATGCGCACCATGCGTTCAGCCATACCGTTGGTGGACGGGTGAAAAGGCGCAGACGTGGCATGACGAATCAGGTTTGCCTGTAAGAAAGCTTGGAATTCGGAGGAGGTGAATTGAGGGCCGTTGTCGGACACAATGACATCTGGCAGCCCGTGTGCAGCAAAAATTCCCCTCAGTACCTGAATAGTCTTTGCAGTGGTGGTGGATGAGACAGGCACAACCTCAAGCCATTTTGAATGGCTGTCAACAAGGACCAAGAAGAACTGGCCCTGAAAGGGCCCAGCGTAGTCAATGTGCACCCTAGACCATGGGGACTGTGTTTCCTCCCATCTATGCACAGGAGCTTGGGGCATCTCTGGGCGAGATCGTTGGCACAGGTGGCATGCGTGTACCTTAGCCTCAATATCTTTATCTAAAGCAGGCCACCACAAGTGGCTGCGTGCAAGAGCCTTCATACGAACAATGCCAGGATGACCCTCGTGGAGGGATTCTAAGACCCTAGTCCTCATTGAGGTGGGAATGACAACTCTGTTTCCCCAAAGCAGACAACCCTGAGAAAGGGACAGTTCGTTCCTTTTGGACCAGAAACTCTGAAACTCAGGACTAGGGCAGTGCTCAGGCCACCCAGACAGGACCCAGGAGCGGACACGTGAAAGTGTGTGATCTGTACCTGTTTCAGCGGTAACATCCCTGGCACTAAGAGGGAGCTCGGGCAAGGCTTGGATTGATAGAATGTTGACAGCTGGCGCGGGGTCAGCTTCTACTACTGGCAGAGGCAACCTACTGAGGCCATCAGCATGGCCCATTTCTTTCCCAGGCTTGTGGAGTAATGAAAAATCATATGCAGACAAAAAAATAGACCACCTAAGCATTCTAGGGGAAATGATGTGGGGAGTCTGCTTACGTGTGGTAAACAGTCCCAGCAGAGGTTTATGGTCAGTGAAGACCGTGAAATGCCTGCCATATAGAAAATCGTGGAATTTTTTAATTCCAGCAACAACAGCCAGAGCCTCCCTGTCTATCTGAGCGTAATTGCGCTCGGCAGAAGACAGTGTTCTGGAGTAGTATGCAATAGGAACCTGAGTTCCATCAGACCTGAGGTGACTCAGGACAGCTCCAACCCCATAGGGGGATGCATCACAAGCGATGCACACAGGGAGAGACTCGTTGAAATGTGCAAGAACACTGTTAGAAGTGAGCAAGGCCTTGACTTCTTTAAAGCAAGCCTCATGCGCTTGTGACCACAGCCACACAGCCTGTTTGTCTAGTAGCCTGTGAAGAGGCTCAGCTACACTAGCTTTATGTGGAAGAAAAGAATTGTAGAAATTCAGGAGGCCTAGAAAGGCCTGAAGTTCGGCCTTAGACTTTGGCCTGGGTGCATCTAAAATAGCAGTTAGTTTGGATTCAGCAGATGGGGCGGATCCCAGCAGCATCAATTTTGAATCCCAGAAAGTCAGTAGAAAGGCACCCCAATCTGGCATTTGTCTTTTCTGAGCTTGAGGCCTGATTTCCTGAATCTTAACAGGACAGCCCTAAGCCTTTCAGCTAGAATGTGTGTGGAGTCTCCTGCAATCAAGACATCGTCAAAGTAGGGGCAGACCCCTGGTATACCTCGTAGTGTGTTTTCCATTACGCTTTGGAAAATCCCAGGAGCGACATTCACTCCAAACTGTAGCCTTTTTACCTTAAAGGCTCCCCTGTGGGTCACAATGGTCTGAGCTATAGCAGCATCATCATCAACAGGCAGCTGTTGATATGCTTGAGCTAGGTCAAGCTTTGCAAAAACACGCCCCCCCTTGAGAGAGGCCAGGATGTGACTGACCACAGGAACAGGATAGGCATGTTGCTGCAATGCCTTATTGAGTGTGCATTTGTAATCAGCACAAATGCGAATGTCCCCATTTGCCTTTAGAGGCGTGACAATGGGGGTCTCCCACGGGCTGGAATCAACAGGTTCTAGGATTCCCTGTTGGATTAGTTTGTCTAGTTCAGTGTCAATCTTACTTTTTAAAGCAAAAGGGACCCTTCTTGCTTTAATCCTAATGGGAGTGACAGTGGGGTCTAGCTTTAAGGACACAGGTGGTCCTTTGAATGTGCCCAGCTGGGGGCTGAAAACATCTGCAAATTCTGTGCAGACTTCCTGTAGGTCGAGTGTTTGTAAGCTATTGAGTCCTGTGACGTGTATCCCCAGGGCCTCAAACCAATCGAGTCCTATGAGACTCGTTCGTTCACCCCCTACTACTAATAAGTCTAGTGGACCTTCAAAACTCTTGTATTGCACGTTAAGGGTGGCCTCCCCCTTAACACACACTCTTGAGTTCTGAAAATCTGTTAATACAATATCAGAAGGCCTTAACTTGGCCTTAGTCCCACTACTGGAACAAATCTTCCTAAATGTATGCAATGAAATGATGGTAAAGGGCAGACCCTGTGTCTAGTTCCATAGATAATGGAACCCCTTGTAGCTTCACGTTGAGTGACAGCTTTTTCTTCATGGGCTTGTGTGTTCCTGTCCTACAGATGCTTCTTCGCGAAGCGCAAAAACCTACCCTATTCTGGCTGGGGAGTCTGGTACCCTTCAGGCGTTCTTCTTGGGGTTGTGCCTTTCATCGGCCCAGACACACAGCTGCAATGTGCCCTAGTTTGCCGCATGCCCGGCAGGTAGCGGAGCGGAACTTGCAGTCGGTTCTTCTGTGGCGACCTCCACAGCCGATGCACTTGAGCGGAGCCGAAGAGCTTCCCTTCTGGTTTCCTTCCTTCGCGGGGTGTAGACGGTCGACTTCCTCGTCTGGATCCTCCTCGGAGTTTCGTTGGACGTCTTCCTGGTGCACGGACGCACCCTCTGCACTGCTTCTGATCGGCCGCATGTTCTTGACGGCGCCGCTTGCTGCTTCTTCTGCGGTGACTTCCCTTAAGGCGTCTTGGAAGGATAATTCTTCCTTAGCGAAAAGTCTCTGTTGTAGCTCTCGATGCCTTAACCCGCACACTAATCGGTCCCTCAGTCGTTCCTCGAGGTCCTTGAACTCGCAGGGCTTGGCGGCCTTCCGTAACGCGGCGATGTATTCCTTGGCTGACTCACCGGACCGTTGATCCCTCTGTTCGAAGATGTGGCGCCATGAGATAACGGACACCTTGGGGTTGAAGTGCTCCTTCAGCAGCTTCTTCAGGTCTGCGTAGCTTACAGACTCTACTGGGACAGGTGCTGCAAGGTTTTCTGCAATTTCGAAGGCGTCTTGGCCGCAAACGCAAAGCAGGGTGGCAGCCTTCAAGCTATCTTCCGTCACTTGGTTTGCCTTGAAGTAGTTCTCCATTCTGGATACGTAGGACTCCCACCGCTCTGGATGTGAGACGTCGAATTCCGAAAGCCTTCCGATTTTCGCCATCTTCGGATCTTCAGGAGACGGGTCTATCAGCCAGCCTACCCCCGAATGCGCACCGGATTGGCGGGCAGCTGCCGAGTCGATGCCGTTCCTCTTCCGCCGCTCAGGACTCCTTGGGTAAGCTTACACTTCTTCCTTTCCAGGTAGTGCAAGGCATCCCACCTTCGTCGCCAGTGTTGAGTCCGTGGCGGGAAAACAGACACGAGAAGCAGCTGGAGTTCTCAGTTTCTTTTATTCAGCGTTCAGCTTACAGGAAGATGGCTTCAGCCTCGCCCAAACGCCCCGCAGCCTCTTATATAGGCAACTCCCGGGTAAATGTGTTACTTTTCCCGCGCCAGCACCCGCGCATGCGCACGGCGCTGGCGACAGCCTGTCTGGTCCCGGGCAGCTTTGCACCTGCCCGGGACTGCCTGCAAACGCCCGAGCTGTTTGCAAGGCTCGGGACATAACAGTGATGTGTGCAGAAATTATCTTCAGAGGTTTCATGGGTGCATGATAGTGTCAGCAATAAACAAGGAGCCCTCTCAGACAATTAGAAAGTTGTACTTTTTTGCATTGCACTGCAAATTGCTTGACACCTGTGCATAACCTATATGAAATGCTCTCTTCAAAAATTCTTTTCTGTCCAGTATTTCATGGGAGGCAGCTCAGCAACTCATCATAAAATGGTGGTCAAAAGCAGGAAGCCGAGACTGAGAGTTACCCTCAGAGTACAGACAGGCAATCTGCAAAGTTAAGGTAATGGAGTGTCCTGTTTGCACCAAAAATATTTGATTCAGAATGAGAACATTTAGTGGGAAGTCAAATTTCCAGCAGCCTGGGAGCAGGCTGGGGACAACATCATTTCTTCCTGCCTACTTGAGCGACCAAACCTATGAAACTGTGATCTTCTTAGTGGAAAGGCAAAATAAAACATCCAAGACAATTTAATAAATTCAAAATGGATTTTGTTATTAGAGAGTTAAAATGATGTTGGGATGATTACAATACTGATGAGATAAACAGAAAGAGAGCTGACTGAAGATGTTCAGGCTAGACTTCATTGGCATTGTACAAATATTTACCACTGGCAAAGTTTTCAGTCCTGGACCTATTCACACACATTAACCAGACATGATTAGTGGGATTTCTGGATTTCTCTTTTCATATGTCAAGCTTTGGCATATCCCATCAGCGCTCAATAAACCTCTTCATTTACCGTATTACAACATTTTTCTGAGTTTCTCTTAACTGTATTCTTGCTTTTGTATTAAATCTGAAATCTGAAGGTCAACAGAGCCAAACAAAGCCCCCAAAACAGTATGGATGATAAGTACCAGCATTCATAATAAATCCCAATGACACAAAAATAACAGCATGCAACCAATGATGTCATTACCAAATGCCAAAATGATGCATTTGCATTTTGATATCGTATGATATGTACACTCCCTCTCCGCTGTAAATTCATACAATGAAATCATCTTTTTAAAAAAATAAATAAATCTTTTGAATGCTCCAACTTACCCAAACACAGGGACCTATTTTCCATTATTTATTATTGCAAAGTGAAAATATCCAGAAATTAAAAAGCAAAATGTAGCCATTCTTACTGTTCCTTTTGAAGCTTAATCCACAGTCTACAGAGATACTGGCAACAGGATTCAGATATAACCTTCAAAAATTTCCTGCAAGGCCGGCAAACTGTCTGTTTTTAAAATTAATTTTCTGCATGGATTTTATCAGATTGCAAGTGATTCTAAACAGCAATTGCATTCAAATGTAACTAAACAGAGTTAAGATTTATACAGCTTCTTGGTACCTCTCAGGTAGTTAACACACAAAACTAGTGCTCCTTGGACTATCAAAAATAGAACTATCACAGCTGGGGAAGAATAAATTAGTTTTCCAGAAACAGAGATAACAACATTATATGAGCTTTATAAAAGAAAGTGAAACATTTTCTCTCTGTGCTGACCACAGATTATAGCAAGATGAGGCTGTGACAACATTTATTTTTAACTAAACATTAAATCTCAGCAATTTAATATACAATTTTCACTGCTTATCAGGATAAGAAATAAAACCTTTTCCTAGCTGTGAATCTTAATGGAAGATATCCTTTATACATTGCATTAAAATTTAAGGCATCCTAATTAGAAGTTTCACTTATTATTTCAAGAGGAAAAGATGCATTTTATTGAAACCTTAAGATAGAAAAGTCTCTTTTCCAACAGGCCCAGTTCTGATACTAATACATTTTTCTCCACCATTGATATGACATGTGATTAAACCAAGGTTACATTTTTGAATCCACTTTTAATTTCCTAGCCAAAATTATATTTTTGCTCCACAATGTTCTCATGGCATTCTTTACTTCCTCATTTCTCAAGGTGTAAATTAATGGATTGAGCATGGGAGTTATAATAGTATAGAAAACAGCCACACTTTTGTCCTCTGAGAATGTGGTTGAGGGCCTCATGTAAAGAAAGATGCAGGGGCCCAAAAACAGAATCACAACTGTGATGTGAGAGCTACAGGTGGAAAGAGCCTTGAGACGGCCTTCTGAAGAACGAGTTCTGATTGTGAGTAGGATAACAATGTAAGAAACAATCAGCACAAGAAAACAACTGAGGGAAATCATGCCAGTGTTGGCAATGACAATAAGTCCAATAATGTAGGTATCAGCACAGGCTAATTTCAATAAAGGGTGAACATCACAAAAATAGTGGTCGATTTCATTAGGCCCACAGAAGGGTAGATGTGTAATAAGGACCGTCTGTACCATTGAGTGTACAAACCCACCCAACCATGATATAAACACCATCCAACTGCACACCCTCTTGTTCATAATAGTGGTATAATGGAGAGGCTTGGAGATTGCGATGTATCGGTCATATGCCATCAGTGTGAGGAGAAAAATTTCAGTACAACCAAAAAAGTGACCGCAAAAAAGCTGTGCTATGCAACCAACAAAAGAGATGGTTTTCTTCTTCACCAGGAAGTCCGCTATCAGTTTTGGAGCAGTGACAGAGGAGTAACAGATATCTATGAAGGAAAGGTAACTGAGAAAGAAATACATTGGAGAAATCAGGTGGCGACTGCTCTTGATTGTAATTATGATCAATAGATTCCCTAGCAGAATTGCCATGTAGAAGATCAAAAAGATTCCAAAGCAGACTTTCTGTAACTCTTGATCCTGAGTAAGCCCCAGCAAGATGAATTCAGATACATTATTTTGCTTTTCCATATTCTCAAAGCTGGATAACGCATTATGGCATATGATTTAAAATTAGGAACACTGTCGATTAAAGGTTTAGGGTTTTTGTGGTTTTTTACAAAAATGTATACCCACCATTGTAGATTGAAAAAATTCTTGAATTGGACGTTCTCAACTCCTGATTCTTTCACATGCATGGAATGTTTACTCTAAAATTTAATGAAGATAAAAAAGTTGTCAGAAATTTAATATGTATTCAGCAAATCAGGGAAGTCACTTTAGGAAGTATTTTATCCATGCTGGAATCACACATTAATAAAATAACATGTTAAATATGGCAGCACATTCACAAAATATTGGAATGCCATCTCTTGCTGCCCTTTTTGTTCTTTCCAACTGGACTAAGTATGAAGCACAGCAATATCATAGGACATTGGAGAAATGTTTCTTGAAAAAAAGTTTGCAACCTATATACAATATGACTTGTAAAGTCAAATCAGAAATTTGTAAAGGCATATGCTTTTTTTCAATGTTTATTCAAACATCATGTTAACCAATCATGGTTTCATTCAGTCATACAAACAACCCTGTCAAAATCTTCACATTTCATAGATGCTCCAAAATCAGCTACTGATTTTATAGCCATTGGTGTTGTTTAGTTCTATTGAAATCAAATGTAAATCGTAGTCAATCGCCTGATTCAGTCATCTAGCCGTAAGAAAGAACCATGACAAGAATAATTTTTTCAGTCCTGTTGTCCCTTGTTATACACAGGTTTTTCAGCCTCTATTGCAGAGAATTGAGTTGTAATATACGGTATGCTAAATAGAAAGGTTCTTGAATATTGGAATGCCATCTCTTGCTGCCTTTTTTGTTCTTTCCAACTGGACTAAGTCTGAATAATTAAGACTGCAGTTTGGTGCCCACTGGCTTAAATGAAGCAGTAAGGCATACTGTGACTAGGATGTAAACATTTAGACAAGCATTAAATGCCGTTAAAGTTATTACTAGCTAACAATCATCTGGCTTTCTACAAATACAATCCTATGTCTTTGTAAGGCAGTGGAAGTTTAAATGTTGGCATACATGCAGTTAGGCTCCAACTTAAATGAACTTGTTCTACTATTATAAAATCAAACTCCAATTATTGTTTAATCAGTTAAGGAAACAGAACTCAGATAGGAACACAAACAGCATAAAGATGGTATAAGAATATCGAAAACTATAAAAATGTTATATAAAACCAGTGTGTTTTCAAAGCATCGAAAAGTAGCTAACAGCATAATTTGAGTGGAGCATATTAAAAAAGATACAAATAATCTCCATTATTACCTGATTGGTTGAGGTATCTCTAGTCTACAGGATCTTCCAGCTCTACCAAAGATACCCTCACCCTTATTCTCTCTCTCTTGAGCAACCAGAAGAGTTTCCATGAAGCTCTTCAATAAATAGGGTTTTGAACACTTTGCAATTCTGCCTATCTACATCATTCCCAATTCTGTCAGCCACTGTATCCTTTCTTCAGCTGCTCACTGTATAAGAAAACCCCAATTGAAACCAAAGGTATATCCTCTTTCTCTCTCTCCACCGTAAAGAGCTGTTTTACAGGTTATTTCTCTTGCCTTATTAAGAACTATGAAATGAAATGTTTAAATGGGTTCTGGCATTACATCACTGATCCAGTTAACAATCTCCCAGAAGTAATTCAGTCTTTCCCAATAGAAAATAAATGCTCAACTATGAACTTTTTAAACATACAACTCATTCAAATTTATTTTGCAGTAGTTAATTAGCATCCATTTGAAGTGAAGTCTTATAGCAGTCTTCTTCAACCTCCAGATATACAGTATATGTAAGACCATAATGTCCATCATTATCTAAAGAGTACCAAAATTGGGAAAGGCTTAATCTTTATTGAGAAATAATGACTTTTAGATATTAAATCATGCTGCTAACCTAAGAATTAAAAGCCAAGCACTATGTGGATGAGATAATTATCCAATTTTACATAGGCAAAATTGTGTCTGAACTATCATGGCCAACATTTGTGGCAGTACTTTTGTCCTCATAACAATATGTCTTTAAACATTGCTGCATGTTGTGGAATTGACCCCATAGAAAACTGGCTCTAATGCATCTTCTGACTAAAATGTAAAAACCTGGTCTATACAAGTGTTAATGGAAATGTGTAAAAATATGTACCTGGGAAGAAACACATAAAGTAGTTAAATGAGATGGAGCAAAAGGTGGAGGAATACTGGAATTTGTTGGGGGTAATCCCAGGAATCAACTGTCACATTATCTAAAACTCTACTCCCACAATTTTTAATCTTACAGAGTCACAAGACAATCTACACTGTGGTACCTATTGGCTATAAAACTCACCAACTTGACAATGAAAACGATAGGCCTTCTACACAGACAGCAAGGTGGTGTCAAGCTACATCTACAACCAAAGCAGACACTTCTAAGTCTATGTAAGCAATAGAGTAGAACAGATTAAAAGATCTGCAAGCTCTGAACAATGGCAACATGTGCCAACAGATCAGAACCCTGTGGACCAAGTTGAGCGGTCCATTCCTGCATCACAGTTGGCAGAATTGATCTGGCTAAAAGGTCCTGAGTTCTTGACTTGTCCAGACAGCCTGATGCCATAGGGACCAGAACACTATGCGCTTCTAGCCCCAGATCAAGATGACAACATTCAACCTCAGGCATCCAATAAATGTCGCAGACAGGATGAGGAAAGGACCGTCCAGACCATCTGCTTGTCCACAATGGGCAAAGAGACAGAGAAACTGCCTTCTAGCCATTGCCTAGAACCAGCCCGCTTCAAACGCTCCTCCAAATGGAGACACTGTGTATTGGGCATAGCAGTAATTGTTCTATTTACTTGTCTTAGCATTCAAGGAACTAGCTTTGTAGGAGCCTGCAAGGATTTACAGACTATTGAAGGCATTTGTCATGACCCAATAATTGACAAATACCTAAAGGCCCAGAATTGTGCATGGGCATTCAATCCTCCCCATGCATCCCACATGGGAGGAGCGAGGGAGCACATGATTGGCTTATCCCACAAAATCATGGACTTTATGTTGACAAAGACACCCATGCTGACACATGGCTACCCTCATGGCAGAAGTAGCAGCCATCACCAATGCTCATCCTTCGTGTTGAGTCCTTGGCAAAAAGCAGACGCGAGAAGCAGTTGTAGTTCTCAGGTTTTCTTTTATTCTGTGTTCAGCTTACAGGTGAAGGCTTCAGCAATGCCCAAAACCTCCCAGCCTCTTATATAGGCAATTCCCGGATCAATGTGTTACTTTTCCCGCGCCAGTACCCGCGCATGTGCACAGGCGCTGGCGACAGCCTGTCTGGTCCCGGGCAGCTTGCACCTGCCCGGGACTGCCTGCAAACGCCCCGAGCCCGTTTGCAAGGCTCGGGACATAATACCCCTTTCCCCCGGGCTAAGACTACTACCAACATACAATTATTTCTTGATGCAATGTTCTACTCCCCAGTGCTTCTACTGTTTACTGGCTTTTGTTTGGCCAGCAATGTTATGTAATCCTCTAAGTATTTAGGAGATTTCCTTGCTCTCTGTGACCTTCTCAGCTCTGGGTTTCTGACAGGTGTTCCCTGACTGAGGGGAGACGTGAGCCTGTTCTCCTTATCATGCCTTGGTGCCTTCCAAGGACTGTGCCCCAATGCCTGGCCTGCTTGCTCGCCCACCGGGCTCGTCAGGCCAGGGCTTCTGTCACTTTGTGACCTGGTTGACCTGCCTAGCTGTAGGCCCTCGGGCCCCTTGAAGTGATAGCCACTGCTGGGCGTCTCTGTAGAACCTCCTAGGTCCGTCCAAGACCTGTCAGGAGGCTGTCCATTCTCCAAACCCCGTTCTGTGTCCAGGCTCGTGTGGGTTTCTGTACCTTCCCAAAACTCAGTTACTCCCTGATTTGGGCTAGAGGTGTTGCGGTCGGGACTTGGTTCCTCGACCCCCTCCCTGTATGTTTGACCCCCTGTAGGACTTGGGGTAAGGTCAGGCCAACTCTGGGGATTATGTGCCAGCTCTCTTGCGGGGTATGATTTATTGGGATGCTCCCGGGTATCCTCCCTGACTGGAGTACTGTGCTGTGCAGGTGAATAGTGATTGTACCCCCGGGGTGACTCCCTGGCTGGAGTAGGCGTGAATGCCTGGTAGTTGGATAGGCTCTTAGAATTCCTGTTTGGGGCACTCGCGGAATCTTGGAATGGGCCGTTTGTGGCTCCATCATTGGAGGTGGGCAGCAGCTCGTGCCCCTCCCTTTGCTCTAAAGGGTCCCCCTCCCCCCTGGAAAAGACCCAGGGGTCTCATCTGGAAGATCCCGCCTAGGGCGGAGTTGGTCGATGTGCCGACGCAGGACACGACCGTTGTCCAGGGCTACCTCGTAGGATAGAGGACCTGTGACCCTGGAAATAGAAGCGGGGACCCATGTATGACCAGGCCTGTAATTGCGAGTCCAAACCGGGGCACCCACAAGTAATTGTCTAGGTGCCCGAGGATGTGAGGTAGATGAAGGCAGTCTGTCCGGATGCAACCGGTCAAGTTTTGTAGTAAGTTTACGCCCCCAGCGAAGTTCAGCTGGGCTTCTCCCTGTAGAAGTGGACGGTGTGGTGCGGTAAGAAAGGAGAAAGTCAGCCAACCTGTGATGCCAGTCCCCATAGGTGAGTCTTTTCAAGGCGTCCTTTGTGATGCGGACCATGCGTTCAGCCATACCGTTGGTGGACGGGTGGAAGGGTGCAGACGTGGCATGACGAATCATGTTAGCCTGTAAGAAAGCTTGGAATTTGGAGGAAGTAAATTGAGGGCCGTTGTCAGACACAATGACATCTGGAAGCCCGTGTGTAGCAAAAATCCCCCTCAGTACCTGAATAGTCTTTGCAGTGGTGGTGGATGAGACAGGTACAACCTCAAGCCATTTTGAATGACTGTCAACGAGGACCAAGAAGAACTGGCCCTGAAAGGGCCCAGCGTAGTCAATGTGCACCCTAGACCATGGGGACTGTGTATCCTCCCATCTATGCACAGGAGCTTGGGGCATCTCTGGGCGAGAGCGCTGGCACAGGTGGCATGCATGCACCTTAGCCTCAATGTCCTTATCTAAACCAGGCCACCACAAGTGGCTGCGCGCAAGGGCCTTCATGCGAACAATGCCAGGATGACCCTCGTGGAGGGACTCTAAGATCCTAGTCCTCATTGAGGTGGGAATGACAACTCTGTTTCCCCAAAGCAGACAACCCTGAGAAGTGGACAACTCGTTCCTTTTGGACCAGAAACTCTGAAACTCAGGACTAGGGCAGTGCTCAGGCCATCCAGACAAAACCCAAGAAAGGACACGTGAAAGTGTGTGATCTGTGCCTGTTTCAGCGGCGACATCCCTGGCATTCAGAGGGGACTCGGGCAAGGCTTGGATGGATAGAATGTTGACAGCTGGCGCAGGGTCAGCTTCTACTACTGGCAGGGGCAATCTACTGAGGCCATCAGCATGGCCCATTTCTTTCCCAGGCTTGTGGAGTAATGAAAAATCATATGCAGACAGAAAAATAGACCACCTAAGCATTCTAGGGGAAATGATTTGGGGAGTTTGTTTACGTGTGGTAAACAGTCCCAGCAGAGGCTTATGGTCAGTGAAGACCGTGAAATGCCTGCCATACAAGAAATCATGGAATTTTTTAATTCCAGCAACAACAGCCAGAGCCTCCCTGTCTATCTGAGCGTAGTTGCGCTCAGCAGAAGACAGTGTTCTGGAGTAATATGCAACAGGAACCTGAGTTCCATCAGACCTGAGGTGGCTCAGGACGGCTCCTACCCCGTAAGGGGAAGCATCACAAGCGATGCACACAGGAAGGGACTCATTGAAGTGTGCAAGTACACTGTTAGAAGTGAGTAAAGCCTTGACCTCATTGAAACTAGCCTCATGTGTTTGTGACCATTGCCACACTGCTTGTTTGTCTAATAGCCTGTGAAGAGGCTCAGCTACACTAGCTTTATGTGGAAGAAAGGAATTGTAGAAATTCAGGAGGCCCAGAAAGGCCTGAAGTTCGGCCTTAGACTTTGGCCTAGGTGCTTCTAAAATGGCAGTTAGTTTGGATTCAGCAGGGTGAATCCCAGCAGCATCAATTTTGAATCCCAGAAATTCAGTAGAAGGCACCCCAATTTTGCATTTGTCTTTTTTGAGCTTGAGGCCTGTTTTCCTGAACCTTAACAGAACAGCCCTTAGCCTTTCAGCTAGAATGTGTGTGGAGTCTCCTGCAATTAAGACATCATCAAAGTAGGGGCAAACCCCCGGTATGCCCCGTAGTGTGTTTTCCATTACGCTTTGGAAAATCCCAGGAGCGACATTCACTCCAAACTGTAGCCTTTTTACCTTAAAGGCTCCCCTGTGGGTCACAATAGTCTGAGCTATAGCAGCAGCATCATCAACAGGCAGCTGTTGATACGCTTGAGCTAGGTCAAGCTTTGCAAAAACGCGCCCCCCCTTGAGGGAGGCCAGAATATGACTGACCACAGGAACAGGATAGGCATGTTGCTGCAATGCCTTATTAAGAGTGCATTTGTAGTCAGCA